TTGTCCACCGAGCCCCGGGAGTCACAGGAGCAAGCTGTCGGAGAAGGCATCGCCACGGCGTGACTAAGTGCGCAGCTCTCAGCTGCCACTCGGTCCCGCCGCAATCAGCTGTTTCCATCAGAACTAAATTAATTCCTTTCTTAATCCGCTGGAGAGACAGGGGACACTTTCATCTGGAGTCATTGCCATACCAGGAAAATGCCCTGGAGATTTTTTTTACAGCCCATTCAACGCTTCCCAGCAGTTCAGTAGGTTAATGCACTAAACAGACAAAAAGGCAGGGGCTGGGACAGCAGATCGCAGCGGGGCTGGGACGACGAAGCGGGACTGATAAAAACCGCTTTGTCTCCCAGGCTTTGGCACCATCCACGACCTCCACAGCAAGCCTGCCAAATTTACAGTGCAAATCACATGGGTTTTGATTTCGAGAAACACCAACGTCTTTCTAAAATAGGCCTGTTTTTCAGAAGGTGACGGAGCAACGGGATCTGGACGTTAACCCTCATTAAAGCGTCCCAGGCGAATAACCAAAAATTTGAGATATGTTCGAGTTATTTTTTTTTTTTTAACTGGCTGACACACGCTGATCTGGGAGCCAGGCTGGTTTTTTCCTTTGCTTTCAGCGAGACATCACCCAACGCCGCCCCAAGGAGACCTCCCGACTGGGCTGCCCCATCTGCGCGCGGGTCAGCCTGTCCTCCTGCAGTGCATTAACCGTCTCATTTGACGGCTTGTTTCGGGGAGACATAAGCACCCTGCGTCTTCTTTCGTTACATTGCTCTAAAACACAGACGTCTCCGCCTCTTTATCCGTAGCCGGCGATAACCGCGGCTTGCTCCTTACCGTAGCAGTGGGGGTACGAATGGTGTCCGGGGCTGCAGCGGTCACAGTGAGGCCCGTCAAACTCCGGCTTGCAGAAACATCTCCCAGCGGCGTCGCAGCCTCCCGGCAGCGTCCCGACGGCGCTGCAGCCGCATACTGCAACGGAGAGACGCCTCAGCAGGGGGGCGCGGGGGGCCTCCCCCGCTGGGAGCGCCGTGGAGCAACGCTGACGCCAAAGCGGGGCTTTTTCTGAAGTTCTCAGGTGGGCATTTAGGTGCTGCTCTAAGTGATCAGTGTCAAACACCGCATCTGTTTCCCGGCTCCCCTTTGTCAACATGTGAATCATCTACACTTCCCACGTCCTTCCAGCTCTCTCCTCTTTATCCCTTCTCTGTCCTGCTCCCATCTCCAACTGCTTTGTCCCACCAAGAGCCCAGTTTTCACGTAAGTGCTGGGCTTCCCTCCCTGTTGCTGCCCCTTGCAGACGTCCTCCAAAGCACCCACCAAACCACTTCTCAACCCTTCAAAACCCTTCCAGAAGTCTCTGGCTTTGCTGCAACGTCTACTCCAAGGTGGCAGAGGCAGAGTGCTCCTGCCACGCTGACCGACACCGTGTCACCGTTGCCGAGCGCTCATTTTCTGATGTCCCTTGCCCAGTAAAGAGACCGTAAGCAGGGCAGAGATCGTCTTTGCAGCCTTTGCCACCACCCAGCACAAAAGATCTGACCCGTCCTGGGCCCTCGCGACGTCAGCGCTTGTTGCGCCGGCAGCCGCGTGGCGCAGGCGGAGAGCGCCCACGCGCCGCCGGGGCGGATACGCACGCTGGCACAGCGGGCAGTTGAAGTAGCCGGGAGCGCACACGTTGGC